TCTATCTCATTTCCAACCATATTAGCTTGAGGACGTTGCTTATTATCTCTTCGAGGCTGACGATAGTCTGCTGATCGATGCCCAACTTTGTCACGATTGAAGCACTTTCCATTGAACCGGAACTTAGGTTTCTTTCCTACCCCACCTGCAGGCTTCAATTGAGACCCTTTCGTAGCCTTTTTTTTATCTTTTCGATTTCCGTTACCCTGTTTGGCTTTAAAGGAGTAAACTTTCTTAGTACTAGAACTTTGGCCGTACTCCAATACATTAGCCTTCTCAGAGTAAGAATTCTCTGACTTACGTTCAGCCCGTTTGTTATCCTCCTCAATGCGCAGCTTGATAATTAAATCCTCGAAAGACATCTATTTCCTCTTATGCTGCAAATAGCTTTTGAAAGCCTTCCACTGAGAAGGTAGCTTGTGAATAACAGTAGCCACCTATAGAGATTCTGATATGGTCAGACTCTCAGCATGCATTTCTTGCAAAAGCACTTGATACTCCTGCACTTGGCTCACCATTGAACGTGAATCAACCATTTTGAAGTCCATAACCGATTGGCTAAGAATTTCTTAGATCCGCCATCCTCAGTCTTGTATTTCTTTTCTAAGGACTCCCAGAGCTCCTTAGCAGACTTCTTTACCACATATACGTGATATAGAGAATTCTGTAGGCCATCCAAGACATAGTTGCGGCACAAAAATTAGCACTTCTCCAAGCGTCCCAAGATGCACGCCTATGCACATCAGTATCGTTTTCAGCCACGATAGGGGCATCCTCAGTGAGGAAACGTGCAAGGTCCAACGTAGTGAGATATAAAACAATATTATTTTGCCATGTCTTAAAATCAGTACCAGCAAACTTATTCGGTCGAATTGCATGATTCACCAAAAATGGAGCCGGAAACGATGGCAAAGGTGCAAAGTTGTAGCCCTAGGCACTGGCAAAGGTATTGTGCCAAACTGGATTGCAAGGCCGTAGCCGAAGGCAAAGTTGGGTTCACTCCAACATGAGAAATCCCGCCTCCAATTATCCCGTCAATGGGAGAAATGTCAGTCGTGGTCTCCATAGGGTTAACAACGGTCATTGCAGGATTTGGTACACCGGTACCAACAGTGTTGCTTCCGTTGTTCACATCGTTATTTCCAATTCAAGCCATTGAACCGGAACAAGCAACAAATAATTTAGAATAATTATAAGTTTATAAAGTTGTATATAAATTCGAGATCAAGTTATCTATTCAGAAAATACAACTGTAGAGTTGAAGAACAGATTATTTTGTCAAATTATTAACAACTTAACAATCATTTAAAATAAATTAGAAATAATGCAAAAACCATGAACTGGAAAAATTGACAAAAACTAATGAACAGAATTTGATTTACTAAAGTCAATTCGATTTAAGCTTGTAGGTAAGTATTAGAGAATCAAATCAAACCGAAGGCCTGTGTATTCACAGTTTCCTTAAATCGAATTCGCTGCCTCACCGAAGTGCAAGAGGTTTTGATCGGTGTTCGATTCCCAAGATACAATCGGTTGTCGGTTCATGCTGCACTACGTTAACCGCCTGCGAACTAGCTATGATATACTCTATCTCACAAAGAAATTATAAGTACAAGGAAGAACTTGAAAGTGAGAAAAAGAATATTGTTGTTTAGAGGAAGAAGCTTGCATTTCACTTGTGATTTTCCAACCTAGAGAGACTCTTATTTATACCAATGGAGGAAAAGATAGCTCATTAATCAAGGAGTTAAACCATTAATTGATAAAGGAGTTAAAAATATGAAGGGACTTGAGTTAGTTGAGTTACAACATATGAAGAGACTTCTATTTAATATTTTCCATTACTTCTATTCAATATTTTTCATTCAATTCTAACACTTTGCACCATTGGGATATGCCGCGGGGGGCTAAAAGGTTTTGCTCTTACGATACTAAGTGCATGTTTGGAGAATTGTTTGTATGTCAATCAAGCTTTCTTTCTTTTTTTTTATTCATGTATTTTATAAGACCGACAACTTTTATAATTTTTTTTTTAATTCACGCATGCTGCAATATTTTATAGCATTTTTAACCAAAATAATATTTCGTGAAAATCTTCAAAAATTTTATATTTTGGTATATTTATAACATAATTCTATTCAACTTAATTCGTAAAATTATTCCACCATGTTAACAGATAAGTCTTGATTTAGAGAATTACACAAAAAGTTAAAATGTATTATTATTACAAAATAGGTAGATGCTTGATTGCTACATGCTTGAATTCCAATAATGGGCTCCATTAATTTGAATTTGGCTTGTTCATCCTTTTTTTCTTTTGTAATCTCACTAGTGAGATGGATAAATCAGCGAGAACACAATCGATAAAGCTCCAACATTTTTTCCAAACCACATCGAGTCAATAGAATATAAGAAGGAATGCTTTTTTTATTGCCCCTCAGGACATATCTCAGTAGTGCAAAGAACAGGAGTGAGGTTATCTCACGCCTTGCTGACAACCGCAGTGTGGGAATTCGATTCCTAAGACATGGAATTGGACTCTTTGTAAGCGCAGTGTACATGCAGCTCTTGTTCCCTAACTTGTTGGGGTACATCCCGCGATTTACCTCCCTTACAAAGCTCTAAGGACGAAGCTGTGGGAGCCAGGTTGGGGTTCAACCTTTTTTTTTTTTAAGAAGGAATGCTTTGCAAGGACATGATCAACGTTACTGGGTTCAGACATTATGGAATAATTTTACGGAAAGATACAAAAGAAACTTTATCCAGAATTGAAGTTTTCTATCTTAATTTGAAGGAATCAAGAAAGGTGAAAAACGTAACTTTTATGTCCTGAGTGAGAGAGTTTGCTTGTAGATCTGAAGTATGTTGATAATCGATACTAATAGGGTCAACCTAAATCTAAAGTAGGCAACGTAGGGATAGTACGAAAGATCCAAATAACTACTTACAAAGAAAAAGAAGTAATGCTCGTTACTTTCCATTTTCAAGCATATCTAAAAGAGTTTTGCTATATGTACACTCGTCTCACAAGACCTTTTGTGAGAGAAGTGTACAAATAACATTGTTCTTTCTAGAATGTAATTATAAAGTAATTCATCATTGAAATTATACTTTAATGTCATCAACCACAGTTATTAATGACATTTTTGTACTTAATATTTTCATTAAAAAACTTATTTTCAATATCTTATTAATTAAGATGTTCTTGATGATGATTTTGGTCAAAATACTCTATTTACATGCATTGAAATGAGAAAAAAAAATTGTCTCAATTTTGTATTTACTATTTTTTTTTTAAATACGATGAAAAAAAAAACGTATGCCATCCATGGATTTTCTAAACAGATATCGTTATAAGAGACAAGGCATGCTAATAAATAGAATGTTAACGATAAATATATGACAAGAAAGTTGAGGACATAAGTACTACAATAAACAAAGAATGATGAGTTTAAATGCACGTAAAAAAAATAGTGCAACAAATAAAAAATATGGATATAATTATTCTCTCTTGAATGACTTTAAAAGTAAAATAACTTGATTTTGTAACCTCAAACATAATTAATAAAAGTTTCTCAAAAAATCTCAATTAATCAATTTGTCCAATGATCAATAATAAATGGTACCAAAATTTAAATATTTTAAGGAAATATAGATAACATCAAGGCCGAATTTAAATAGTATGAATACCCTAATTCCCAAATAATTTTTATTCACTCATCATTTTGATTTATTAAATTCCTTTTAGGGATATCTTTACTCCTCATCCCGGGATTAAATCTCGGGCTTGGAGCCGGGGGTCGAGATGGCTTGACCTCGGCCCCGATTTGAAATCACGGGTTCCATATACTGCAAGATCGAAGGTTGAGGTCACGCTACCTTGGCCCTGAATCTGAACTCGGGATTTAATCCTGAGTTCTGCAGCACGTCTGAAATCTTTAACAAGTATGAATGGACATTCTTTGACAAAAAGATTAAATGGGAAACAAATGTCTCTCGTGAAGGCTTGTTTCATATTTATTTACTGTTAATATTACCCTGAGAGAGAGAGAGAGGACCATAGGCACGTAAACTTGACAGATGACAGGAGAGAAGAATTCAAGGATATGTGGCTGTCGTGAATTATTGAGTCTGAAAATATTGTCTTCTTCAAAAGTGTTGTGGATTTTTTTATCATCTGTGCCCTTGTTTGACCCACATTTTGGAAAATGATGAATTTTAAATAGTAGATTGATGAAAAATAAATAGTTAAAAATTAAGGAAAAAAATTGAATTTATCTGTAATATTATTTTATTGAAATATGTGTGATTGAAAATAAATTCTGAAAAAAAAAAGGATTTTTAGAAGAATGAGAATCAAACAAGGGTTATATATGTCTCGAATGTTTGGCTATCGAAAAGTTCTTAAAATTTTTATCAGTCTGGTTAATTGGTGAGCTTAATGTCTGGAAGTAGGTTTTAATAATTTATTAGACTGTTAAGTTAGTTCTTGTTTTTACATTAATACAACAAATGTTAATAGAATATAAGGAAAGATGTCAATTACATAAAATGAAATGATCATGACATTTTGAGGACAAGGGTTCATCAACGTAGTAGGTAGTTATCTAACTTAAAATTGGACTTATACTCTCTTCCATGTCTACCACACTTCTCTCTTGTATTTAGATTTTAAATAATGTCAATGTCCTAGTGGAGTGATGTAACAAATCTAATACCTAATTGCATGTCTTCTTGACCTTAAATATTATTATATTAATCACATATTTTATGGATAATTTTAGTCAAATTCTCAGTCACAAATTACATCAATTTTTATCAAACACTGCTAAAAAATTTTATGAAGCAGCCGATAAATTTACTTGTAAGAATTATTTTTCTCCTCTTATACTTTATACGTACACGACGGGAACAAATGATTTTTATGTTTCCTATTTTCTGTTGAAATTGAATTGCTTTCTTATGGGACTAAAATCTATAAATAGTCCAACAAAGAGAAATCTTCTTCTTCAAAATAATAATGATGACGCTAAGCATTTCTATGGCTTCACTTATTTTCTCCCTTTTCTTCTTCCTCTCATTTTCTTCTACCATTTCCTCTCAAAACCTTGAACATTTTCTCAAATGCCTACAATCTAAAGGCTCAAATTCCATCTCAGAAGTCATTTACACGCCAAAAAATTCGTCATACACACCTACTTTGTTGTTCTCTATACAAAACCAACGCTTTGTGTCACCTTCCATGCCAAAGCCTCTAGTAATCGTCACGCCATTGAATGAGTTTCATATACAGACAGTAATTACTTGTTCTAAAATCCATGGCCTGCAGATTAGGACTCGCTCTGGGGGCCATGATTATGAAGGTCTTTCTTATCTTTCCAAAGTCCCATTTGTAATTCTTGATTTGAGAAATCTAGAATTGATCAAAATAAACGTTAAAAAGAGGACAGCATGGGTTCAGGCAGGTGTACTTCTTGGTGCATTTTCTTATAGAATTGCAGAAAATAGCCCAAATCTAGCCATTCCAGCTGGTCTGTGTCCCACAGTGGGCGTAAGTGGACATTTCAGTGGAGGTGGCTATGGCACCTTGCTAAGAAAATATGGCCTTGCAGCGGATAATATTATTGATGCAAGAATTGTCAATGTCGACGGTGAAATTCTTGACAGAAAGTCAATGGGAGAAGATCTTTTTTGGGCTATACGCGGCGGAGGAGCCGCCAGTTTTGGGGTGGTCACCTCTTGGAAAATCAAGATGGTTGAAGTTCCTGATATTGTAACAGTTTTCACTATCAACAGAACTTTGGAACAGAATGCAACGAACCTTGTTCATCGATGGCAGTATATTGCACATAAATTTGATGAAAATCTGTTCGTCAGGATCCTCATAACGCGTGTTAATCCCGGTGGAAAAGGGAAAAGATTTTCAGTTCAAGCCTCTTTTAATTCCATCTTTCTTGGCAGGATTGATAAGTTGCTTCCCTTGATGCGAGAAAGTTTCCCTGAATTAGGTTTGCAGAAACAAGACTGCCTGGAAAAAAGCTGGATCGAAGCAATCCTCTATTTTTCTGATCTTCCCAGTGGATCAACTCTGAAAGATTTAACCAACAGGAATCCTAATCCCAGAACATATTACAAAGCAAAAGGAGATTTTGTACAAGAACCAATACCCAAACATGCCTTAGAAGGGTTATGGGAATTTTTTCAAGAAGCTGAAGCTGAAGCAGCCCAGCTTATTTTTGCTCCATATGGTGGAAAAATGAGTGAAATTTCGTCATCCGAAACTCCATTTCCTCATAGAGCAGGAAATCTATTTGAAATACAGCATTTGGTGTACTGGGATGAAGAAGGAAATCAAGAATCAGACAGGTATATAAATTGGATCAGAAGGCTGTATAAATACATGGCATCCTATGTTCCGAAGAATCCTAGGCCTGCATATTTGAACTATAGAGATCTTGATTTGGGGGTTAACAACATTGGAGGAAACACAAGCTATGAACAAGCAAGTGTTTGGGGCATTAAATATTTCCTGGAGAATTTCAAGAGATTGGTTCATGTGAAATCAAAGGTTGATCCTGATAATTTCTTCAGAAATGAGCAAAGTATACCACTTTTGATATCCTAAGAAAAGAAAGGTTGTCTTTATTATTAATTTTTAGGGTTATCTTTTAATTGTTCTCTGTAATAAAACACAGTACCTCGGGTTCAAAGGTACTGTGTGTTTCGTTTGTTTGTTGTATAACAAAAAAATTGAAATAATAATGTTTATTTCCTCATTTCTGCTCTCTAGCTTTTAGAAGCTTTATATTTTGGTGGTTTTAATGTGTGTCGGTCGAGAAATATTGTACATATTTTTTGGTGGTTTTATTTTTTGTTGATTTTTAAAAAATTAGAATCCACGGATTGTAATTCCAAGTTTTGCAATTATTTATACTTTAGAAATTAAATTTAATATTTGATTGAATTATTTTTGACGAGGAAAGAGAAAATCTCAAAAGAATTGATTGTTGATTTCAAATGAATTTTCCCATTAATTGTTGAAGAAAATTTCAATAAAATTAGATGGTATTTAAAAAATATATATCTCCAATGTAAGCTAATACGCACTACATCATCTCTAATATCTAGAGTTCCATCTAAATTTAGACAAAGTGTTAAACGAATTGGCTCGACATAATTAATATTTCTTTCGAATTTATAAATAATTTTTTTTAAAAAAAGAAAAAAAAAAGGACACCTAGATAGCAATCATTTGATTACATTGATGACTAATTTTAGACTTTGTTGATGACCGACCTCCAGTCTCACATTTATTGCTCGCAAGGTCCACTTTATACATGTGTGAGTTCGGTCATAAAACCTCAGCTCGGCACATTGTCGCCATAACCTCAAAAGACATAATAATTGCAAATTTCTTATATCCTATCACATCACCCTTTCAATCATATATATTTATAGAAGATGACGTTAGCACCGTCTATACCCACCAATCAACTACCTATCCTTTGCAGTCCATCATTACATGAAAGAAATAGCGATGTGATGGCTACCGGCCTCATTGACCAATTAAGAGAGAGATCGGCGGCATGTGGTCTAAGCTCGGCGCAAGTGGTTGATTTGATTGAAATGACATAATTTTTGCCAAGCCCCTCATAAATAGTAAGGAACGATTCCCTTCGAGGGGGACAAAGCTTTCCTACACAGAAAGTGTACAAATCGATCTCTCTGAATGAATACGAGTGATCTTTTTTTTTTTTTTTTTTTTAAGTTGGCTTAAAAATTAGTTTTCACAATTTTTGACGTCAACATACTTGTTGTCTATTTAGTGGGTATCAATATCACAGAGATAAAAAATGATAATAATGTTTGTGCATCGTTTTATTTTAAATCTGGGGCAATTTTAGCCAAATGTCTGGTCTAATAAAGTATTTGGTCAAAAGGCCTTTGACCATATAAATGAATAAAAAGAACAATGACTATGCTTATTTTTAATTTGACAAAATAATATATCTCTAGAAAGCACGTGGATTATTCCAAAATTTCATTTTGTTCTTTACTACCTGCCCATCTTTCAGAAATAATATCCTGAAATGAACAAATATATATACACTCAATCTCTGTTTCACAACGACTCTACCTTTTGATACAAATCAATTCAAATTTGGACAAAAATGAAATGGAACTAAGTTTTCCTTCAAGAATAGAAATTTATTTAAACCTTTCTCTTGAAATTTTTTATTTGGATTTGACCTAAAAAGATTTGGATTTTGAAAAAGCCAGATGAGATGAAGAAGATAGAAGACTACGTGTTATGGGTGAATGAAGAATTTGGTTGGGTGATTTATTTTTATTTTTTTTCTAAAGACCCATACTTGAGAGTTTAGGTTACATATAATAACATCACGGTTATTAATAACTAGACAACGTTTTAATTATATGAAATGTTAGTAACCTTTACACACTGTTACATTTACGTCCCAAATTTTTTTCATTGCATTCTTATTCTCAAATTAATTAAATTGTTCATAACTATTGTTTATCTCCATAATGTTCTTCAAAATAGATTAAAAAAAAAAAAAACTCATTTCCCCATTATATTTTCGAATGAGTATATATGTGTAAATAATATGAAGTAAATGTGTATGTTAATTAATTTTTCAAACTTGTACTCGTATTTTACTTGTAAATAATTTTATACATATAAGTTAATTTTTAACTTAAAAGTGAAAAATATACTTATAATCAAAATTATTTATAAGTAATTTTCTAGCTATACGTCAATTTTATAGTTATATGTTAATTTTTATACTTATATATAGGTAAAAAAATCTATTGGACTGATATAAAAATGTAAATGGGGCTTAGGGACAGGTTTGGGACCCTACGTCCTGGTACGTGTGTGCAGTGTGTGTGCCTGATTGATATAATATTTAGAGTAATGAATAACTAAAATTTGATCAAATCGATCTTTTAACTAATTATCAATTTTACAATTATTGGATAAGGTTGATGGAGTAGTACGAGACAATTTAAAAAAAAAAATAAAAATATTCAGTTGATATATTTGTTTTGAGTATCAAATTAATTAGAGTTGGAAATGATGAGACGTCTTCACAGTTCATGATCCCCATGTACTTTTGATACAATGGGATATCCTTGGCTAGCTAAGAATTATTTATTGAATAATTGTGATTCCAATACGAATTCGAAAATTCCAATTTTTTTTATTGTATAATATAATTGTAGTCTGATGAAAATTTTATAGCTCGACACAATATATTAATTTACGAGTAATGTTATTTAGCCCCCGTTTGAGCCACATTATTGTAAAAATGAGAATAAAAAATATAACTATTATGGACCCTACATAAAAGATAAAAAGCCAAATATAGTGACTTGATGTGATAGATAACGATCATATTTTTCATTTTAATGAAAAAATAATTGAGCTCAAATAGGGCCTTGACTTCAACCCTAGTGGGTCTATATAGCATCAGTGTGTTTCTTTATGTCGAGTTAGCAAAACAATTCAAATGAAGCATTTCGTTTTCGTATCAAATGCGCAACAGGTGCATGCATTATATAATATGAACTCATTCAACCGACTATCTTTTGTGGTGATCGAAGTGTCTGTGCTGCAGAGATGCAAACCAATTCATGGTCTCACGGACCCAAATTTCCTTGTATTTGGAAGCAATAAGCATCAAGCTTATGCCTAACAACTGTAGTTCCATCCTTGATGTTGTCTATACCTCAAGAATTAAGAGAGTGAAAGATGCACCAAAAAGGTTGCATGTAGTTATGTAAAAGTTGCATTCATGTCAACTTCATATAATTAAACTAAAAAGAATAAGATATCACCGGTTCAATTAAGATATAGTTTTTCTTAAACCCTACTAAGCAAAACAAATTATACATATATGCCTCTTAAGATGCAAAATTATCACTTCGTTTTTATCCATATACTTCAATAACATCAAAGTCACCATGTTTGATATAGTTTTTCTTAAACCCTACCAAGCAAAATAAGCGATACATATATGCCTCTTAAGATGCACAATTATCACTTCCATATACTTCAATAACGACAAAGTCACCATGTTTGAGAGAAACCAATTCTTCTAGGACTTTTTTATCCCTATTCTTCAATAACTTCAGAGTCCCATGTTCGAGAGCAACCAATTCTTCCGGGAGTGTTCCTTCCTAATAAACAAAGACCAGGATCAAATTATAAATTGACTAGAAGTTAGGCTCCTTTCAATTGTTGAAATCAAGTCTTATCTTAGTTTAAAAAGAGAGAATAAAAATTACATACCTCATGATAAGTGGAAGAATTCCAGAATGGAAACTCACGGTACCAGTAACGGGAAAAATTCCAGAATGGAACCCCAAAGTACCAGAGTCTAATGCTCCTTAAACCCAGTGAGGAGACCAAAAATGTGATCCAAGCGTAACCAGATAAAATGAGCATTCTTTTGGTCTCCTCATCTTCACTGAGCGCATGCGCACCATCAGATGGGATCATACGTGAAATAGCAAATCTAGTCATTAGTATCGCAGCATCAGTACCAACGAAAAAATCCAAGTGTGGACTGTCACTCTTGAGGACACCCAATATCCATGCTTTCACTTTCCCTGTCAATCCTTTCACTGCCAAAATTTTTGAACTTTTTGTAAGTTACAATAGATACTAATCCTATTTAAAATATAAAACAAACCAAGACTGAATTTAGATTTGTTTCATATTGTTTAGGCTAATTAATCGATCTAATGAACAAGCATCCGCACACATTAATTGACCACTTTCCTAAAACTAAATGATTGTGGAGATGAATGAAATTTATGCTGTTCATGCTAGAACCAAAATGAGGGACCCAAATTGCATGAGCAACAGGTGACTAGGAGAATTCCTTACTAAAGACACCATACCCTAGAAAGCGAAGGTGACCAGGAGACCCAGTAGAATTCCTTACTAATATAAAGATTCCGCAGACGAACATTGACAAAAGACAAAAGAGGACTATTTTCTTTAAAAAAAAAAAAAAAAAATGGAAAAAATCCTTGCTAGAATTATAAACCATAATACCCATCTAAACTCTATCTTATAGTTAAATTAAATTAAATTGTAAACTTTTGAGTAAACTGTGTGGCCAAAAAAAAAAAAAACGTCAGTTTAACGCCCAAAAGAAAGTAAAAAGGGAATGGTTCAAAACTGTGAAGAATAATTACTTACATTCCATTTGATTTTTTTGAAGTTGATCCTGTATTTTCCTGCTTTAAAGATTGCACATTAAACCAGAAAACAAAATTAGCCAAAACTAAAAATAATACAATAGAGCTTAAAAAAAAAAAAATTGAAATTTGAATGTCGAATTTCAAACGACTTATTTCTCTACAAAAACAATCTAAACAACCGAAAAAATTAAAAACAATAAGAATACCTAGAAAAAAAGAGAAAAGAGAGGAAACTCACTTGGATGGAAATTAGTTTTTCTCACCAAGAATAATCACTTAACTGGCAGCGGCCGACGAGAATTGCGTGATCTGCCGGCGATTTTGACGAGGCTCCGGTAATGGTAATGCAGTAGAGAAGAGCTTTGGGCGCAACTGAAATAGGAATATTATTTATAGGACAAGAGGGAATGGGAAATCGTGTCTCTCTCTCCTTGCTTTTTGGATGATAGCGAGACTTGCGTGCAGTTTTATATGCAGATAAATTTCCTGGTTCAATGACAATTTTTACCCGATCAAAAATAGAGTCCTAAAGGAAAATTACTTCTTCAATAAATATTTAGATATATCTATAATTAAATCTAACAGGAACTTAGCACGAAAAGGCCGCATAAAGTCTAATAGGATCTTCCAGAAACGGAGCATTTGGTTAAACCATAAATAATTGTAATAAAGTTTCATTATTCGTAAATTATTTATTGAATTTTAAGGAAACGAGTACGTAGAACAGGGGAATTAATAAATGGAGTAGAGACGATGACATATATCATAATGAGAAACAAAGGAATTTTGTATGGGTACACTCTTATTCGAACGAAGTGAAAAACATATTATCTTTGTGAAAAACATACCGTCTTTTACACATATCTTTATCTCAGTTACAATAAAGTAAAAAAAATATTTCCTCAATCAATTAAAAAAGAAATAAATTAATTTACATAATGAAACAAATCAAGAAATAATTGATAAAAAAAAATTTAATTTATCTCGACGATAAAATAAAGTTACGTTATAATATTAGTAAAGGTAATTATATCAGCACCACACATTTTACTTAGTACACCACAATCAAAACATATATTCAAGATGTACACCATAAAAAACTTACAATTATAATCCTAATACAATAATAATTAAAGACTCATTCAATTAATAACCAAAGATATACACCACATTTCGTTATGATACTTTTTTTTATCACCAGAGACGCACAGTCTTCCTCGTCTGAATGGTTAATTTGTTTTCATCCAAGAGGCGGCTGACAATGTTAATACTCTTATAGTAACCAAAATAATGGCAATTGCGATGCACTCCATACTACTATAGTCGACTTTGAAGAAAATTGGGTATTTGGACACACGTGCAAAGTGCATTCTCCACGCCAAAGATTGTTGAAACTTATAGTAGACAACAAATCATCCAACATCTTGAAAGATGATGGGCTCAGATATTTGGCGGTTTTGGAATTGGGATAGGAAATTCACTATTTTCTACTAAATCAAGGTAAAACACTTAATGGGGGTGGTCATATAACCACCACAATTCTATGAATTTTTGAATCACTTGATTTTATGAAATTCGCATTTGTATCTTTAAATAAGAATTATATATCTTTTTGTAGTGTTTGGACGATGGTAATGGAATGAATAACCAAATTAGCAAATAATAGATAGGATATTTACATCATTTTACTCATGGTTACTTAAATAAATAAGAAAAATGTAATGTACTAAACACTGGTTCTGGTGGTAATATAATCACCATACTAATAATAGTGAGACTAATTAAATTTGTAATCCAACCGTCGAATGAATGAATTGATATTTCATCACCTGCATCTGCATCTAAATATGCATGTACAATATTACAATATGACAAATATGGGAAGCTTTGTTGTACAATCAAAAATACGTTCTCGTATATCTAATTCAATCAAGTGTAACATGGGATTATATTTCACTATTTTAGCTTAAAAGTCAATTAAAATCAATTTTTTAACCGTTATTTCACTATTTCAATCATCATTTTTGAATTCTTCTCTCGCAGGTAAAATTCACTTTATCTCTAACGATCAAAAAAATCAATTAACAAAATCCCTACCAAATAAGTAATAATGCTTAATGAAAATCGCTTACAAGTCAATCTTTACGTTTGAAAAGTCGTACAATTTTAGTTGATAATCTGGCCAAGTGTACATTGGGATATAAAATTTGATATCGTAATTCTCATTGCCATTCCACACCTAATAAAAATCGCAAGAGTTCCTTTCTTTTTAAAACTGTGACGACAAAAAATTTCAATAATTTATTGTAACAACGAAATTGAAAGCGTGATTATATACAATTATAAAATAAATGAACTCATTAACGTTCATGCTACTAATCCTAGTAGATTTTGTCTATCACTTTGAAAAAGAAAAAATAATAATTTTGTGATAAAATCATTATTAGTGATTATACTAGCGAGGCTCCGGTAATGGTAATGCAGTAGAGAAGAGCTTTGGGCGCAACTGAAATAGGAATATTATTTATAGGACAAGAGGGAATGGGAAATCGTGTCTCTCTCTCCTTGCTTTTTGGATGATAGCGAGACTTGCGTGCAGTTTTATATGCAGATAAATTTCCTGGTTCAATGACAATTTTTACCCGATCAAAAATAGAGTCCTAAAGGAAAATTACTTCTTCAATAAATATTTAGATATATCTATAATTAAATCTAACAGGAACTTAGCACGAAAAGGCCGCATAAAGTCTAATAGGATCTTCCAGAAACGGAGCATTTGGTTAAACCATAAATAATTGTAATAAAGTTTCATTATTCGTAAATTATTTATTGAATTTTAAGGAAACGAGTACGTAGAACAGGGGAATTAATAAATGGAGTAGAGACGATGACATATATCATAATGAGAAACAAAGGAATTTTGTATGGGTACAATCTTATTCGAACGAAGTGAAAAACATATTATCTTTGTGAAAATTACATACCTCATGATAAGTGGAAGAATTCCAGAATGGAAACTCACGGTACCAGTAACGGGAAAAATTCCAGAATGGAACCCCAAAGTACCAGAGTCTAATGCTCCTTAAACCCAATGAGAAGACCAAAAATGTGATCCAAGCGTAACCAGATAAAATGAGCATTCGCTTGGTCTCCTCATCTTCACTGAGCGCATGTGCACCATTAGATGGGATCATACGTGGAAGAGCAAATCTAGTCATTAGTATCGCAGCATCAGTACCAACGAAAAAATCCAAGTGTGGACTGTCACTCTTGAGGACACCCAATATCCATGCTTTCACTTTCCCTGTCAATCCTTTCACTGCCAAAATTTTTGAACTTTTTGTAAGTTACAATAGATACTAATCCTATTTAAAATATAAAACAAACCAAGACTGAATTTAGATTTGTTTCATATTGTTTAGGCTAATTAATCAATCTAATGAACAAGCATCCGCACACATTAATTGACCACTTTCTTAAAAATAAATGATTGTGGAGATGAATGAAATTTATGCTGTTCATGCTAGAACCAAAATGAGGGACCCAAATTGCATGAGCAACAGGTGACTAGGAGAATTCCTTACTAAAGACACCATACCCTAGAAAGCGAAGGTGACCAGGAGACCCAGTAGAATTCCTTACTAATATAAAGATTCCGCAGACGAACATTGACAAAAGACAAAAGAGGACTATTTTCTTTAAAAAAAAAAAAAAAAAATGGAAAAAATCCTTGCTAGAATTATAAACCATAATACCCATCTAAACTCTATCTTATAGTTAAATTAAATTAAATTGTAAACTTTTGAGTAAACTGTGTGGCCAAAAAAAAAAAAAACGTCAGTTTAACGCCCAAAAGAAAGTAAAAAGGGAATGGTTCAAAACTGTGAAGAATAATTACTTACATTCCATTTGATTTTTTTGAAGTTGATCCTGTATTTTCCTGCTTTAAAGATTGCACATTAAACCAGAAAACAAAATTAGCCAAAACTAAAAATAATACAATAGAGCTTAAAAAAAAAAAAATTGAAATTTGAATGTCGAATTTCAAACGACTTATTTCTCTACAAAAACAATCTAAACAACCGAAAAAATTAAAAACAATAAGAATACCTAGAAAAAAAGAGAAAAGAGAGGAAACTCACTTGGATGGAAATTAGTTTTTCTCACCAAGAATAATCACTTAACTGGCAGCGGCCGACGAGAATTGCGTGATCTGCCGGCGATTTTGGCGAGGCTCCGGTAATGGTAATGCAGTAGAGAAGAGCTTTGGGCGCAACTGAAATAGGAATATTATTTATAGGACAAGAGGGAATGGGAAATCGTGTCTCTCTCTCCTTGCTTTTTGGATGATAGCGAGACTTGCGTGCAGTTTTATATGCAGATAAATTTCCTGGTTCAACTACAATTTTTACCCGATCAAAAATAGAGTCCTAAAGGAAAATTACTTCTTCAATAAATATTTAGATATATCTATAATTAAATCTAACAGGAACTTAGCACGAAAAGGCCGCATAAAGTCTAATAGGATCTTCCAGAAACGGAGCATTTGGTTAAACCATAAATAATTGTAATAAAGTTTCATTATTCGTAAATTATTTATTGAATTTTAAGGAAACGAGTACGTAGAACAGGGGAATTAATAAATGGAGTAGAGACGATGACATATATCATAATGAGAAACAAAGGAATTTTGTATGGGTACACTCTTATTCGAACGAAGTGCAAATAGTATGTACATGCTAACGATTCAAACCTAACACGCCTATTTATTAAGGTGGGTCAACCAGTGACTCAATTAGAATCGAGTACGATAAGTTTTGATCAAGTATTTATTAATATGAGTCATCTCAGATCTCTTATTCGAACGAAGTGAAAAACATATTATCTTTGTGAAAAACATACCGTCTTTTACACATATCTTTATCTCAGTTACAATAAAGTAAAAAAAATATTTCCTCAATCAATTAAAAAAGAAATAAATTAATTTACATAATGAAACAAATCAAGAAATAATTGATAAAAAAAAAATTTAATTTATCTCGACGATAAAATAAAGTTACGTTATAATATTAGTAAAGGTAATTATATCAGCACCACACATTTTACTTAGTACACCACAATCAAAACATATATTCAAGATGTACACCATAAAAAACTTACAATTATAATCCTAATACAATAATAATTAAAGACTCATTCAATTAATAACCAAAGATATACACCACATTTCGTTATGATACTTTTTTTTATCACCAGAGACGCACAGTCTTCCTCGTCTGAATATTTGAGGGGCCTCAAACTTATTTATGAAGTAGATAAATTAATAAATAAAAAATAAATTGTGTCATAATGGTTAATTTGTTTTCATCCAAGAGGCGGCTGACAATGTTAATACTCTTATAGTAACCAAAATAATGGCAATTGCGATGCACTCCATACTACTATAGTCGACTTTGAAGAAAATTGGGTATTTGGACACACGTGCAAAGTGCATTCTCCACGCCAAAGATTGTTGAAACTTATAGTAGACAACAAATCATCCAACATCTTGAAAGATGATGGGCTCAGATATTTGGCGGTTTTGGAATTGGGATAGGAAATTCACTATTTTCTACTAAATCAAGGTAAAACACTTAATGGGGGTGGTCATATAACCACCACAATTCTATGAATTTTTGAATCACTTGATTTTATGAAATTCGCATTTGTATCTTTAAATAAGAATTATATATCTTTTTGTAGTGTTTGGACGATGGTAATGGAATGAATAACCAAATTAGCAAATAATAGATAGGATATTTACATCATTTTACTCATGGTTACTTAAATAAATAAGAAAAATGTAATGTACTAAACACTGGTTCTGGTGGTAATATAATCACCATACTAATAATAGTGAGACTAATTAAATTTGTAATCCAACCGTCGAATGAATGAATTGATATTTCATCACCTGCATCTGCATCTAAATATGCATGTACAATATTACAATATGACAAATATGGGAAGCTTTGTTGTACAATCAAAAATACGTTCTCGTATATCTAATTCAATCAAGTGTAACATGGGATTACATTTCACTATTTTAGCTTAAAAGTCAATTAAAATCAATTTTTTAACCGTTATTTCACTATTTCAATCATCATTTTTGAATTCTTCTCTCGCAGGTAAAATTCACTTTATCTCTAACGGTCAAAAAAATTAATTAACAAAATCCCTACCAAATAAGTAATAATGCTTAATGAAAATCGCTTACAAGTCAATCTTTACGTTTGAAAGGTCGTACAATTTTAGTTGATAATCTAGCCAAGTGTACATTGGGATATAAAATTTGATATCGTAATTCTCATTGCCATTCCACACCTAATAAAAATCGCAAGAGTTCCTTTCTTTTTAAAACTGTGACGACAAAAAATTTCAATAATTTATTGTAACAACGAAATTGAAAGCGTGATTATATACAATTATAAAATAAATGAACTCATTAACGTTCATGCTACTAATCCTAGTAGATTTTGTCTATCACTTTGAAAAAGAAAAAATAATAATTTTGTGATAAAATCATTATTAGTGATTATACTAAAATTGTTATATTTCTTGAATATCATCAACTTGGACATTCTTTTCCTCCAAGGAAAATTAAGGAAAGACTGAAGCGTGTGGAATTGTAGACTATATTACAAATTCTTGATGAGAATTAATTAATTAATTCAATACTCAAGCACTAAAATGTAATCACTAAAGTAAAAATTGAATTTAACATATAAAGGAAAAAAGAAAAAGAAAAAAAGGGCACTCCATGGCTTATGTCCAAAAATGCGTCAATTGAATCTTTGGATTGGAAATTTGTTATAGAAATTAGACAAGTCAGTTACCTCTGAAGAAAAAATAAATAAATATATAAAAATATTAGTCCGTTCTATTTCCTAATAATAAAAAATTTCTCTCAAACACAAATAGTATGTACATGCTAACGATTCAAACCTAACACGCCTATTTATTAAGGTGGGTCAACCAGTGACTCAATTAGAATCGAGTACGATAAGTTTTGATCAAGTATTTATTAATATGAGTCATCTCAGATGTCCAATTCATTTTGACTCCATTATATACATTGTGAACCTTTTGCCATAGTGATTACTAACTACTAATTCGATCAATTCCTCAATGTTCCAAGTTTCCAACCTAAAAAAATAAGTCCAAGTGTAAGTTTACAAACTACTAATTTAATCAATTCCTTGATGTTCCTAAATAAATAAGTCAAAGTGTAAGTTTACAAACTACTAATTTAATCAATTCCTTGATGTTCCGAGTTTCCAACCTAAAAAAAAAAAAGTCCAAGTGTAAGTTTACAAACTAATAATTTAATCAATTCCCCAATGTTCCAAGTTTCCAACCAAAATAAATAAGACCAAGTGCAAGTTTTCAAATTATTTCACCAAGATTCCGAATTTATTATTTGAATTATAAGTTGATAGTCTCCAATTTATTAAGCCCCCGTTTGGCCCACTTGGCAAGTTAATTTTTAACTTTTCAATAATTGTACAACTTGTCCTTAATGATGAAACTATTTAAAAATACTTCATAAAATTTTCCGGTGGTCAGACAATAACCATTTAATGAATGGCCAAATTGTCAGGAATACTTTTGGCTTATTACCATCGTATTTTATAAACTAGATAAGAAAGTAGAAATAAGAAAAAGACAAAGGATATATAAAAGAAGTTTAAAATTTTTTTTACTATCATTCTGCTCAATACGAGTTAATATTTGCGAATGTAATTCAAAATATGGCCTCAAAGATTATTTTGAAGCTTTATTTGGGAGTAAAAATAGTCGTAACAGCTAAATGACTTACATGAAATCAAATTCCATTCTTTGTTATTAGCAATTAACCAATATATTAATCATTTTTAAATCCGAAATTTTCGAGTATTTAATAAGTGAAACCATAGGGTTCGAGTTAGCTTTCATTCTGTTCGGTTCTAGGCTCTGTACTACAATTAATTTTTTAATATTTACAATGTTACATTAGTTTTATTAATAACATGTTCAATTTTAACTCTTACAAAATAACGTAGTCTAATCTTGTTTGTCTTTTGTATCTCTCTTTGTTGAGTTTTTCATAGTTTTGATTCTTAAAATCACAAGAAGAGGGGGATAGCAAGCTCATAATAATTAATAGAAGCGTTGTCGAATTTTAATTCGATTTCTTCATAACAGTAGAAAATGGCACTACAGTAGACCAACAAATTTGAGTAAAACTTAAGTCAATTTGATTAAGTTAGGCTTAAACTGAAAATTAGAAATATGAACATCATATTTTTGGGTTTGAGCTAAATTAATCAGTTAGTAAATTTATTTAGAAAAAATAAAATAATTTGGCTTATTTAAAATAAATAAATTAAACAAAATTAGGAAGATTCAGTTCTTTATTCAGATACCCATTCAGGTATTTAGCTTAAAAAGAATAGCTTGATTTGATTTAGTTCGATTTGAGAGTTTTGCCCAACACTAATTTTTTACAAATTTCTCTTTATAATGACCATTAAAAAGGGTTTAATAAAAATTCCAGTCATTATATTTTAAAAAAAAAAAAAAAAACTTTTTTTTTTTTTTTGTCAGTTAAAGCTCAACGAAGAGGCGTTGTTTAAATTAATTAGTCATATGTTTGAGGAGAAAAAAAAAAGTTGTATTAATTTATTGAAGGACGAATCAGAAATTAAAAAAATATTAGTGAGAGAATTTTCATCCAAAATTATTTATCCGGCATTGAGATTCGAGACTTTTATAAAGGCTATAGATTAAAGATTTTAATAGGAATATAGGATTATCTGTGGATTTTGAATTTTGCGGATTACTGATTAAAACTATATGATAGTTAACAAAGCAAAGTTGAATTAAAATTTATTCCAATATAATGCTATGAAACTTAAATAAGGGGAACTTGAATTTCTGTTGGGATAGCATTGAATACTAGTAAAATCAATTTTAAAAGAGTCCTAAAAACATAAATAATTTATAAACATTGTCTTACCAAGTTTGCTTGAAACATTCTTTACTGGCACAAGTCTCAAAATGATCTGAATGTATTTGTAACGTGTGGTAGAAAATAAAATTTAATTATTCATAAATTATTTATTATATATATTTTTTAAAGAACTGCTTAATTAGGAAACGAAAATTGATAAATGAAAAAGAGATAATGATAGATATCATGATTGAAAAACAGACGAATTTCGTTGTAGTCTAGCTAGGCTTTCACCCGAGAGACCCGGGTTCAAGATCCGGCAACGGAATGCTGACTTATTTTTATACCTTTGGGGCTTAAAACTTTTTTTTTTTCCATGCACCCTAGTTCAGTAACTTGATACTTTCTCTCTCTTGAAAATCTTCACCTCTGATGAATCTTTATTTTTTCATTTGTTCTATATGGATAAAAGTAGAAAGCCCTGTTCTATATGCTAATTTGATCGAAATTATTGCTCTGTAATGAGTAGTGATTATTGATTTAAAACGAAAAATCCAACAAAGTGTTGGGTTATATAGTGAAAACGAAATCATTTTTATTCTTTAATATATAATGAGCAACCTTCCAGGGATTTTTAGTTAATTAAGAATATTAATTGAGACGACATTCTTATCACCGGTTGTTGGATTTTCATTCAGTTACAACTTTATGCTGAGATTTCTTGGAAGTTGGATGTGGTACCTTTTGCTTTACGTCCCAATCCCATAGGGGATTTAGTTACAATTGAGAAATGAGAATAGAAAGATCAAGATTACCCTTCATCCGACTTCCTTTTTTGGAAAGAAAGTGCAAATCTTACATTATGAATGTCAATAGTTGATTTTTCCAATCTTTTTCAGCCTTAGTTGGAAAGGATATATAAATCTCCCCGTCCCTCGACTCTTAACATTCTTGCCATAGAAAGCCAGCCATGGCGCACCCACTCCACCTACCCAAAATACAAAGAAGAGACGTAGAATAATAGGATTATTGTGTTGTCCAAATATTTTGCAGCTCACTAACAAACCAACTTCAATAGACTATGACTTTATTAACATTCATTGTGGAAATCATAAGCCAGCCAATCACTTAACAATAAAGTAGCCTTCAAGCAAAAACTTGACTTCAACTTCACCTTTCTCCAAATAAATTGAGCTTTTATTAAAAAAATCCCCATCAAACTTGAGTTCATGGGATTTGCCAACCTGTATTGATGCAATCCCTAATCTTGGGAGCCTCTAATGTTCAAATTGCTCCTTTAATCATGCAATTCCTCATCTTAAGTGTGCACGCGTTTTCATTACGCATAAGTTAAAAGTTTATTTATTATACTGTTCAGTCTTACCTTATACTATGCATCAAACATGTGACATACAACGGAGAACAATTGAAATATCTTTACTATTTCTGCAGCCAAAGAACTGACAAATGAAATCCGTAAAGCGACATAACACAACAATTTAATTGTCAAAAATTGCATATGCATGTAAATTGGGAAGAGAGTGAAGCAAATCCAGACTTGTACAATATATAACATAAGAGAACTGTCAATTTCCAGTCCAATTCAACAAGTATGCATTTCTCCATATGCAAGACTGGATCAATTGTGAAGGTTGTCCGATATGCATACCAATTCGTAGCCTCAGGGGCCCAACTTTCCTTGTATTTGGAGGCAATAAGCATCGAGTTTATGCCTAACAACTGCAACTCCGTTATTGAAGTTGTCTTTACCTCAAGAATCAAGATAGTGAAAGATGCTCCAAGAAAAATATAATAACTTGCGACGACAGAAATAAGACATGCAGTTATGTAAAAGTTGCATCCATGTCAACCTCATAAAATTAAACCAAAAGGAATAAGATATCACCGGTTCAATCTAAGATATAGTTTTTCTAAAACCCTACCAAGCAAAATAAGCAATACATATATGCCTCTTAAGATGCACAATTATCACTTTGTTTTTATCCATATACTTCAATGAAGACAAAGTCACCATGTTTGAGAGAAACCAATTCTTCCAGGACTTTTTTATCCCTATCCTTCAATAACGTCAGAGTCCCATGTTTGAGAGCAACCAATTCTTCCGGGAGAGTTCCTTCCTAATAAACAAAGACAAGGATCAAATTATAAATTGACTAGAAGTTAGGCTCCTTTCAATTGTTGAAATCAAGTCTTATCTTAGTTTAAAAAGAGAGTAAAAATTAAATACCTCATGATAAGTGGAAGAATTCCAGAATGGAAACTCACGGTACCAATAACGGGAAAAGTTCCAGAATGGAACCCCAAAGTACCAGAGTCTAATGCTCCTTAAACCCAATGAGAAGACCAAAAATGTGATCCAAGCGTAACCAGATAAAATGAGCATTCGCTTGGTCTCCTCATCTTCACTGAGCGCATGTGCACCATTAGATGGGATCATACGTGGAAGAGCAAATCTAGTCATTAGTATCGCAGCATCAGTACCAACGAAAAAATCCAAGTGTGGACTGTCACTCTTGAGGACACCCAATATCCATGCTTTCACTTTCCCTGTCAATCCTTTCACTGCCAAATTTTATGTACTTTTTGTAAGCTACAATAGATACTAATCCTATTTAACATATAAAACAAACCAAGACTGAATTAAGATTTGTTTCATATTGTTTAGGCTAATTAATCAATCTAATGAACAAGCATCCGCACACATTAATTGACCACTTTCTTAAAAATAAATGATTGTGGAGATGAATGAAATTTATGCTGCCCACTCCCCCTTCCGGACCTTGTTGGATAATGGGACTCTTTGGTCAGTGCTGTTCATGCTAGAACCAAAATGAGGGATCCAAATTGCATGAGCAACAGGTGACTAGGAGAACCAGAAGAACTCCTTTACTAAAGACACCATACCCTAGAAAGCGAAGGTGGCCAGGAGAAGCAGGAGGATTCCTTATTAATATAAAGATTTCGCATACGAACATTTACCGAGATACATTTATGAATTTAAAGACAAAAGAGCACTGGCAAAAAAAAAAAAAAAAAGTCAATTTAACTCCCAAAAAAAATAAAAATGGAATGGTTCAAAACTGTGAAGAATAATTACTTACATTCCATTTGATTTTTTTGAAGTTGATCACAATAGAGCTAAAAAAAAAAATTGAAAATTTGAATGTCGAATTTCAAACGAATTATTTCTCCACAAAAGCAATCCAAACTACTGAAAAAATTAAAAACAATAAGAATACCTAGAAAAAAAGAGAAAAGAGACGAAACTCACTTGGATGGAAATTGGTTTTTCTCACCGAGAATAGTCACCTAACTGGCAGTGGCCGACGAGAATTGCATGATCTGCCGGCGATTTTGACGAGCCTCCTGTAATGGTAATGCAGTAGAGAAGAACTGAAATAGGAATATACGATAAAAAAAAAAAAGGATGGAGGAAATCGTGTCTCTCTCCTTGCTTTATAGATGATGAGACTTACGATCAAAATAGAGTCCTTAACGAAAATTACTTCTCCAATAAATATTTAGATATATCAATAATTAAATTAACAGGAACTTAGCACGCGAAGGCCGCATAAAATCTAATAGGATCTTCCAGAAACGGAGCATTTGGTTAAACCATAAATAATTTTAATAAAGTTTCATTATTCGTAAATTATTTATTGAATTTTAAGGAAACGAGTACGTAGAACAGGGGAATTAATAAATAGAGTAGAGACGATGACATATATCATAATGAGAAACAAAGGAATTTTGTATGGGTACACTCTTATTCGAACGAAGTGAAAAACATATTATCTTTGTGAAAAACATACCATCTTTTACACATATCTTTATCTCAGTTACAATAAAGAAAAAAAAAATATTTCCTCAATCAATTAAAAAAGAAATAAATTAATTTACATAATGAAACAAATCAAGAAATAATTGATAAAAAAATAAAAAATAAATTAAATTTATCTCGACAATAAAAAAAAAAGTCACGTTATAATATTAGTAAAGGTAATTATTTTAGCATCACACATTTTACTTGATACATCACATTATAATCACATCACAATCATAACATATATTCAACGTATACACCACAATAAATTTATAATTATAGTCCTAATACAATAATAACTAAAGACTCATTCAATTAATAACCAAAGATATACACCACATTTCGTTATGGTACTTTTTTTTTTTTTTTTTTAATGACCAGAGACGCACAGTCTTCCTCGTCTGAATATTTGAGGGGCCTCAAACTTATTTATGAAGTAGATAAATTAATAAATAAAACATAAATTGTGTCATAATGGTTAATTTGTTTTCATCCAAGAGGTGGCTGACAATGTTAAAATGTTAATACTTTTAGGGTGTGTTTGATTACATTTATTTTTCATAGAAAATATCAGTTTTCCATCCAAATTTTCACTTGGAGTGTTTGATTGTTATTTTTTTCTATGGAAAACATTTTTCAACTTTTGAAAATATGCCTAATTTTCCTTGGGTAGAGGTGGTTTTTATTTTCCACAAAAGATAGAAAATATTTTCTTTTCTAGGTAATATTTTCCATGTCAATCAAACACACTCTTATAGTAACCAAAATAATGGCAATTGCGATGAACTCCATACTACTATAGTCGACTTTGAAGAAAATTGGGTTTTTGGACACACGTGCAAAGTGCATTCTCCATGCCAAAGATTGTTGAAACTTATAGTAGACAACGAGTCATCCAACATCTTGAAAGATGATGAGTTGAGATATTTGGCGGTTTTGGAATTGGGTTAGGAAATTCACTATTTTCTACTAAATCAAGGTAAAACACTTAATGGGGGGTGGTCATATAACCACCACAATTCTATGGATTTTTGAATCACTTGATTTTATGAAATTTGCATTTGTATCTTTAAATAAGAATTATATATCTTTTTGTAGTGTTTGGATGATGGTAATGGAATGAATAACCAAATAAGCAAATAATAGATAGGATAGTTATATCATTTTACTCATGGTTATTTAAATAAATAAGAAAAATATCAAATACTAAACACTGATTGAGGTGGTAATATAATCATCATATTAATAATAGTGAGACTAATTAAATTTGTAATCCAACCGTCGAATGAATGACACGATATTTCATCAGCTGCATCTGAATCTGCATGTACAATATTTTATTACAATATGACAAATCTGGGATGCTTTGTTGTACAATCAAAAATACGTTCTCGTAGCCCCTCGTGACATAACTCAGTGGTGCAAAGGACAAGAATGAGGTTATCTCATGCCTTGCTCGCAGCCGCAATATGGGGGTCTGATTCCTGAGACATGAAATTTGTAGGCGCAGTATACACGCAGCTCTTGTTCCTCGGTCTATTGGAACACATCCCGCGATTTATCTCATTTACAAAGCTCTTGAGAATGGGACGGTGGGAGTCCTCAAAGTAGGGGTTCAACCTTTAAAAATACGTTCTCGTATATCTAATTCAATCATGTGTAACATGGAATTATATTAATGCTTAATGAAAATAGCTTACATGCCATTCTTTACATCGTTGATCACTATGCTCTAGATTTGAAAAGTGGTACAATTTTAGTTGATAATCTAGCTAAGGGCACGTTAGGATAAAACTTGATATCATAATTCTCATAACCATTCTACACCTCATAAAACAAGCGAGAGCTCCTTGCTTTTTTAAAATAGCGACGACAAAATATCTCAATAATGTATTGTAAGCCATACGCGTAAAATCAAAATTGAAGGCTCGATTACGCACAATTAGATAATTAATGAACTCATTAACATCCATGCTATTAATCCTCGTAGAATTTCTCTATCACTTTGAAAATAAACAAATGATTTTTGGATAAAATCGTTATCACTGATCATACTCAAATCGATATATTTCTTGAATATCATCAACTTGGACATTCCTTTTCTCCAAGGAAAATTAAGGAAAGAATGAAGCATGTAGAATTGTAGACTATATTAAAAATTCTTGAAGAAAATTAATTAATTAATTCAAAACGAATTGCATTTTTTTTTCTAGTTTAACTAATTATTCATGATTAATCACTGAAGTAAAATGGAATTTAATATATAAATAAAAAAATAAACGACACTCCATGGCTTACGTCCAAAAATGCGTCAGCGAATCTTTGGATTGGAAATTTGGTATAGAAAAGCCGATTACTACTGAAGAAAAAATAGATAAACATATGAAAATATTAGTGCTTTCCATTTCCTAATTATCAGAAAATTTTCCCAATCACAAATAGTTTGTACATGCTGACGATTCAAACCTAACATACCTATACATAAAGGTGGTTAAAGTTGGGTCAACCAGTGACTGAATTCAAATCAAGCAAGATGAGTTTTGATAAAGTGTTTTATTAATGTAAGTCATCTAAGACGTTCAATCCATTTTGACTCCACTATATACATTATGAACCTTTTGCCATAGTGATTACAAACAACTAATTTGATCAATTCCTCAATGTTCCAAGTTTCCAACCAAAATAAATAGGACCAAGTGCAAGTTTGTAAACTACTAATTTGATCAATTCCTCGATGTTCCAAGTTTCCAACCAAAATAAAATAAGACCAAGTGCAAGTTTTCAAATTCTTTCACTGAGATTCCGAAATTATTATTTGAATTATAAGTTTATCTCCATTTTATTAAATAGGCAAGTTAATTTTTAACTTTTCAATATATTTGTACAAGTTGCCCTTAATTAATTTTTAACTTTTCAATATAATTGTACAACTTGTCCTTAATGATGAAAATTGTTTAAGGCCATACTTGAGTCATATTTTTTCAAAAAAATATGTTTTTAAACAGTTATTTGACATCATTTCAACTGCACATTCTTCAATAAAATAATATTACACGCAAATCTAAAGCTTTTCTTTATTTTTTAACCACACATTTTTCATCAATACACTATTCAAAAATGTATTATGAGGAAATAATGTGGCTCAAACAAGGGCTAAGAATACATCATAAATTTTTAGATGACCGGACGAAAACAATTTAATGAAAAGCCAAATTGTCAGAAGTACTTTTGACTCATTAACATCGTATTTTGTAAATTAGATAAGAAAAGAAAAAAAAAAGGATAAATAAAAGAATCATTATTTTCGATACAAGTTAATATTTGCAAATGTAATTCAAAATATGGTCTCAAAAATTATTTTGAAGCTTTATTTGGAAATAAATAATCCTAACAGTTAGTTGACTTATATAAAATCAAATTCCAATCTTTGTTCTTAACAGTTAACCAAAATATTAATCATTTCCCCCCAATTTCTCTTCATAATTACCATTAAATAGAAAGCCCAGTCATTATATTTTTTAAAGAAAATGGTTTTTCAGCTAAAGCTCAACTAAGAGGCGTTGTTTAAATTAATCAGTCATATGTTTAAAGAGTCTCATTCTTAAAAATAAAAAATAAAAAAAGTCGTATATATTAATTTCTTGAAAGATGAATTAGAAATTATAAAATATTAGTGACAGCATTTTCATCCAAAATTAGTTATCCAATATCGAGATTCGAGGCTTTTATAAATGCTATACATTAAAGATTTTAATGGGAGTATAGGATTATCTGTGGATTTTGCATTTCTAGATTACTGATTAATACTATACGATAGTTAACGAAGGAACGTTGAATTAAAAATTATTTCAATATAAAGCTATAAAACTCAAATAAGGAGAAGTTGAATTTCTGTTAGGATTGCACTGAATACTTGTAAAATTATTACAAATATAAATAATTTATAAACATTGTCTTACCAAGTTTGCTTGAAACATTCTTTACTTGCGCAGGTCTCAAAATTATCTGAATGTATTTTTAACGTGATGTAGAAAATAAAATTTAATTATTCATAAATTATTTATTATATATATATATTTTTTTTAGAGAAATGCTTTTATGTAGGAAACAAACTTTTATAAATGGAATAGAGATGATGATAGATATCATGATTAGAAATAGANTTTTTAGAGAAATGCTTTTATGTAGGAAACAAACTTTTATAAATGGAATAGAGATGATGATAGATATCATGATTAGAAATAGAGGAATTTCGTAAAGTACAATTCTTATTTGAGCGAATTGTAAAAATATAATCTTTTACACAAATATATGTTTATCTATCATTAATATTCTCATAAAAATAGAATATTATTTTTTGAATCAACATAAAAATTATGAATATATCCATTTTCAATAATGACACAGATCAAGAAATAATTAATAAAAAATTAAAAATACAATTAAGTTTATTTTATTATAAAATGTCATTTCGTGTAGCAAAAACTCCAATTTATCTCTTGCATCTGCATCTGTATGTACATTATTTTATTATAAAATGAAGAAATTGGGATGCTTTGTTGTTCCATCAAGAGTACTTT